GAGCCTGCAGTCACCTCCCATCCTCTCCAGCCGTTTCACTGACTCACTTAGCGCACATGACAAATGACAAAATCACCCCGAACCTCCGCCCCCTCACTAAGACCTGATTGCCCATCGCCCACACTTTGCCTACAGTACTTAAAGCTGGGATACATCTTGCCAAGCTCCGTGAAACAAAACAAAGTTAGTTGGAAAATCACTTGTTCTGGCCTTCCGAAGCAACTTTTTACTGTAAAGTTACAGTTACAGTATGTAGATGGTGTAGATGGTGCATATTTTAGACTGACCTAGTGAACATTAAACCTTTGACATTACAGCTGCAGCCCTGGAAATTCTTCCCTTTTTAAAACTCAACAAATCACTTCTTTAATGCGACAGCACAGGTCTTTGTAAAAAAAAGCAAAAAAAAAAAACAGATATTATTTGTGTTGCATCATCAAAAGATGACTTCTTGGACTGTGTTTTAAATATGAAAGCAAGTGAGTTGTATGAATACAAAAAGCAGACAACATTAGCGCTTAACTGTTAACAAAACAGTGTCGGGGTATGCATGCTAAAATTGGAAAATATTCCACCAAAGTGAAGCAACGCATTAATCTTTTAGCATTGTGAAAACAACAGTGAACTCAGGGGGGTTTCTACTCCATTTCAACCTGCTTACGCTGCACAAGTCAAAGTTGGAAGCGTGCTGATAGTTAAATCTTACACCTCATATACTCTCCTAGTTAAATGCAGAGTGGCGAGAGAGTTGTAGCAGTGTGCAGTTTTTCAGAATGGAGTGTAAAAGTGATGATTGGTATAATACTTAATGATGAAAAAATATGTGCTGCAGAATATATGACCTTTGTGACCTTAGAGTATCATTGTTTACCATAGGACTGGGAAATATATCGATATTACATCTATATCGGGATATGACACTAGATATCGTCTTAAATTTTGGATATAATTGTAAGTGTTGTCTGTTCCTGGTTTCAAATGTTGCATTACGGTAAAGTGATGTAATTTTCTGAACTTACTAGGTTGTTTTAGCTGTTCTTTTATTTGCCTTTACCCACTTAGTCATTAAATCCACATTACTGACGATTATTTATCAGAAATCTCATTGTGTTATTATTTTGTAAAAGCACCAATGGACTCTAAGACATAAAGGTGCTAACTAGAACCACAAAGGGCTCTTGTCCTCATGGGAAAATCCTTTATGGCTCCTGGTAGAACAGTTTATAAAGGTTTCACCTGGTACCCTTTAAGAGGTTTCTACCTAAAACCCAACATAAACGTTCCATGAAACAAAACAAACTTAGCCTGAAAATCATTTGTTTTCAGACCTGGAACCATCTTCCCTTAAAGACACACATGATGGCTTGGTGGGTCAACAACTCGGAGATACAGAGTTTAAAGCCTGCAACTCCACACCATTCCATTAGAACTAAGGAAGCCTCTTGGACGAGAGACGAAACATTTTCAAGAACCTCATGCAAATCCAGTTGCCTATGATATAACACTTAAGATTACTATGTCCTAGATGTCTGAGAATCTTCACTGTCAACATAAAGGGTTATACATAGAACCATCAATGAAGGGTTCCATTGAGCACCCCACTTCGTCCACCTGCCTTGGGCTTCATAAGGTTTCTAAAGGGCTGGGGCTGATGTGGTCCAGTGCAACCCACAAAAGTCGTGGTTCACAATTAAGTTTTTAGGGGGTGGAGATTTCGTCGTGAAATCACTACTACTACAGCTTTTACTACTTTAGCGCTGCAGTGGAGTTGAGAGCTAAAATTCAACTAGAACCGAATACATAATACCAATTACCAGGTACCCCTACAAAAAGAATTTTGGCAGACCATGTAGTATTGTATGGGATGAAATGATGGTAAACACATCAACTATGGCAGAATACAACTAAAATGAAATGATTCCAGATACATCTATGTTTAAAATACATGGGTATACATTTGAACAACAACAACACCCATGCTTTCAACAATCCTTGAAGAGCCCTTTCTTCCAAAAAGGGTACTTTGGATGATAAGTTTTTTAATGGAATAGCCTGTACACTTGCCATGTTTATTGTGCCCTCATATCCATTGTTTTCAATGTGAAAGCACAGAAAGCTTCTCAAAAGCTAGTGCAACACTGTGGCACAAGCTTTTCCAAGAGCCTGTTTTTCAGGGCACAGAGATAAACAAAGTCTTTCAAAGAACCCTTGAACCCTCTATTAAGAAAATGGTTCCTCAGAAGCTAATTGTTGTGGGTAGAACCTCAGCCCATTAGGAGGAACCCTTTTGGAATCCTTATCTCTAAGAGTGTACCACCCAGCCCGACTTTACCAGATCTCCTAGGGTTTTAAAACATGCAAATGGTATGTAAAAACGATACTACAGAACCTTTACCTGCAGAAATGAAACCACAGTAGTATTTCAAGGTATCAGGGCTGTGTGGACAACCACACAGTATGTGTTCTCTCACTGCAGTAATAATTGCAGCTCTGACTCTGTTTTTTTCTTTCTTTTCTTTAGAGCCATATTAAGCTCATTTTAACATTTGTCTTTGACAATGATGCTGCACACTGAATCTGACACCTCCAGCAGTGCCAGACACTTAAATCTTCTGTTCAACAATAGCACAATTCTCACTTCATCTCCCCTCCTGCAGCCCTGCCTCTCAGGCTTTCTAATGAATACTCTGCAAGACAGAGGGAGCAATGCCTTGCTCAATGTGTAAGCTAAAGCAAAGCATTTTGCAATACGTTGTCACTCAAATACGTGTGTTGGGACCATCTAAGAGTCACTCTAGACAAGCGTTGGCGTTGGCAAAATGATCCGGATCTTAAAAGCAAGGGGCAGTTTTATAGAAATCAAGAGTGACATATTTTTCAAGAACCCTAAAGGGCCGTTTTGTAGGACGCCGCAGGGGCTCTTAAGTGCTATCTGGGGAGGCAGGCAGAGTGCTACCCTCTGTGCCCAGCAGCAACCAGCTCATTGAAGGAGAGAAATCAAACACAAACTAGTTCTTCAATAGAAGCCGTGGGGAATTGTGTATTTGTCATCAAAGTCATCCTGCGCTGGCCTCAACTCCCCCTCTGAAAAAACAAAGACACATCTGAAAAGATTAAAATCGATATGTCTTCAGCTCCTCCAAATTTCTGTTCATTATTAATGAGTTTGGGATTCTCAAAGAAGCTATCTGACCTATCTGAGTCAAGAGGAAGAAGTCCTTGTCAAGCCAGTTATCGGCCCCCGCGGGGAGGCTGAAGGATCTGAGTGGCAGTGTAGCGTAGCAGCAGACAGGTAACTAGAGGAGAGGGCGTCTGGCCCTCTAACACCCCCGTGGTAATAGGGCCAGATAAGTGGAAAAGGGGGAGTCCTCTCATCTGAGTCCAAACACCAGACCACAAGCATATCAGCGGGAATCCTCGCAAGGCAGTTGAAATGCGATACATGTTGTTATGAAAGGAAATACATGTTTTTAGAAAGACAGAAAATCAATACCGCTGACTGACTGCAGCGCAAGTGAACAAATCTGAGCGAGCTTGAAAAACCTGCATAAAATGGAATAAAAATGAGTCAGACTTAATAATCCTGACTAAGCCTGTATAAGGAAGCCCTGGCAGTCAAGACAGTAGATGGATCAGAGCACAGACAGAAATGCATGCATTATGCATCATTGTAAAATCACTCCGGGTAGAGCGCACACACACACACAAATTTATCCCGCATTTGCATCACTTATTGTTCACGTTTACAACTCAAAATTCACAAACGACGTGTGTGTGTGTTCTCAGCTGCCAAACCCAAAAGGACACAGTGATGCTTGCGACTTCCATGGCGCATTGGACAGAAGCAACCTGTTAATAGATCATTACCGTTGAATAATTATCCATTACTTTGCTCTCACATTCACACACTCTTCACAAAGCTACTGCTGAGCACAGCAGCACTATCTTATCTCCCTCACTCCTCTTCCCCTCCCCTCAGTTGATGTTAACATCTGACAGCTTTGTGTGTGCGCCGATACAGATTTTTTTTCTTTAATTAAAACACTGGAAGTCTTAATTGGACATTACACTTTATTCTCCGGCCCCCCCACTTGCCCAGCTCCCCTTCCTCAAACACTTTGATCCTCCGACCGAATCTTTCGAGGCAATAATAGTTTCCCCTGTTCTCAGACTCACACCGCAGTGCTTAAGAAGCAAAAAGCTCACTTTAAAACAGGGAACACAGCTTTGTCGGCTCTCTGCTTTGAGTTTCTCCCTTTAAGATTTTATATATGAACATTTCCTCTCCAATTAGATGATCTTCAAGTGACCTTCTCTGAGTTAGTTTAAGTGAAAATGAGATGAATTATTAAAATAATACATTAGATGATGTTTTGGTAATGTAGAAATGAATGTTTCAGCAGGAATCCTGCTCCATTTTGGTGCATCCAGACACTTTATAAGTGCATAAATCAACCTCCAACCTCTGTTGTCAGAGAATCAACTCTAGAAAGCATTTCTTAATGACAGAGCTTTATTGTTTTACAGGATCATAGACTTTGTAGAAAATTGTCCACCCTCAGAAATATTGATTAAACTGCCCACAGGAGTAACACGCTTTATGTGAATTCAGTTTTGGTGTGGATTTTCTGTTTGAATCTGTTCTTTGATCCCTCTGGCCTCCGGTAGCTTGAAGGAGGCATATGAGCCCATTACTAGGGAGCTTAGGGAATTACATCAGCTCTGCGAAAACTAGACATAAAGGAGTATTTTCTTTCACGGCTGGGGTAAACAAAAGAATGTAATAATAGCAATACCTGCAAAAATTCAACCATTTATTTTTATATATAACATTGATAGAATGTCACGGTTACTACCACTAGAGGTATGAACGGTAAATTAAGTATCGATTAAGCCTTTAATTTGTTTTCTGTCCACGTTTCTTTCTACCTTGCTGATAACTGCCTACTTTTCTTTCTCTATTTTCTCCTTCGATCCCCACCTCCACCTCTTTTCTCTAGGTGGCCCTGGGTCAAGAAGACGACTCCTCCAGCCCCAAGAGCTCTTCAGACGACTCCTCCAAGACAGTGGGCCTCCTGAGCGGGCAGGCTCCCCTCTCACCCCTGAGCCGCTGGATGCTTCACAGTAAGAGCAGAGCTGCTAACACCACCTCTCTAGAGCTGCCCTACCGCTCCCCGGTCCCTTTCTCCAAGCAGGAGTTTTCGAAACAGGAGTTCTGGGAGATGTTGGGCAGTGACCTGCTTAAACCCGACGCCTCCAGCTCCAGGGTCAAACGGCGGCCCATCGTTAAAACCGGCAAGTTTAAGAAGATGTTCGGCTGGGGAGACTTCTACTCCAACATCAAGACGGTGAGGCTCAACCTGCTGATCACCGGCAAGATTGTGGACCACGGTAACGGCACGTTCAGCGTCTACTTCCGCCACAACTCCACGGGCCAAGGCAACATCTCAGTCAGCCTGGTGCCACCTGTCAAGGCTGTGGAGTTTGACCTGGAGCGCCAGAGCGTGGTCTACCCCAAGGACTCAAAGATCTTCAACTGCCGTGTGGACTATGAGAAGGTGGATCGCAGCAAGCGCACCTCGCTGTGCAACTATGACCCGTCCAAGACCTGCTTCCAGGAGCAGATTCAGAGCCACGTGTCTTGGATTTGCTCCAAGCCTTTCAAGGTCATCTGTATCTACATTTCCTTCTACAGTACGGACTACCGCCTGGTCCAGAAGGTTTGCCCGGACTACAACTACCATAACGAGATGCCCTACCTGCCCTCGGGCTAGACGACTTCTAGGGGGGAGGAGAGGTGGGAGGGGAGAGGAAAAGGGGGGTGAGTAGGAGTGACTGCAACACACGAGGAGGAAACCAGGGCTGTGAATCGTCCTTTATGCCATTGTGGCACCTTAAAAAAAACCCTCTCTGTAGCCTGACTATTCTAAGATGTAAAAACATATATGCAAAACAAAAACTACAGTATGCAGATAATGAGGCATTTGGAATGCGTAACTGCAGCATTCATTAACTGGACTGGTAGTGAAAATCAAACACGCACATTCTTACCTCAACCCAGTTTCTAAATGCCAACTTCTCGCCAGCTAATTCTCTCCTCCATTAAGTCATCTGTGAATGTTGTCTGAATGTCCTTTTAATCACCCTTTACTATATTGCTCTTTTGCAAAGTCACAAGGCAGCATTTTTCAGCGAAAGCGCGCTTTTAAATGCTGCGATATGATTCACCGGAGAGTTGTATACAAATCCAGACTTTATTACAAACATCATACAGTGTTAAACATTGCACACTGTAAATGATTAAAAACTTACCAGAGGGAACACAAAGTGTTGTTTCTCTCACAAAGAGCAATGTAAAGTGAATGTAAAATGTAACCGACCACAGGATCATTTAGGTTACACTCAAAGTCTTTTTAAAGGGCATCTTTTTTTATCTGAACTTTAAGTCCATCCCCAAATAAAGTTCCTCGTCCTACCCATTCTCTCCCCCGCTGTCCTCACATGTAAGCGTCCCACATTGTCACTGTGTAGTTTGCAGCCTGCCAAATCTAATCACAGTATATCTCTCAGTTATGTCACCTCCATTTCAATAAAAGAGGGAGAAGAGGGGGAGACAAAATAATAAAATTTGCAAGAAAAAGCAATTGCTCAACAAAGATTCAGGGCCAGGGCTTAAGACGAGTTCAGTGTGAGGGAAGTAACTAGATTCTGCATAGAGATAGAATTGGCCCTCCACACTTAAGAGAGGGAGGGAGAGGGAGAGGTGGGGGAGGGAGAGAGGGAGAGATTCAGTGAGCTGTTTTAATTAAAGTGGAGAAGGAGACTTAGAGTATGCGGCTCCTTCTATTGTCCCCTCTGTATGAAAAAGATTACATTTTGTTGCCGTCAGGATTCCTGATTTCACGCCTTGATAACTTTGACTGTGTGAGGCAGATTGCTCTCTCCCGACAAATACTGTGCTCACTAAAGTCGGCCCGTTATCTTGAATAAATGAAAATATTATCATAATAATTACATATAATTTAATCTCCTTTAGAACTAATTAAGGTTTCAACGAGAGGGCGAAATGTATTCCTAAAAATCAAGTCAGCGGGTAGGAGGATAAGAGGACGTTCATGGGGATGGTTGTGGTTTTTTTTTTTCTGCTTGGAGCCAGCAGCCAAAGCTCAGCTCAGAGTTAACTGCTCTCATTAAGATAAATTGCCACTGGCTGGCCCATCTCATGTTACTCTCACAAACAATATCAGTGGAGAGAAGTGCACAGTGGAGCCATGAATTAGGTAGCCTGACATTTTGTTAGTGAGAGGTTACCCTGTTCATGAGGGCACAATGACTTCTCATTGGACAGTTACACAATACAGGTGTGAAGAGTCATTAAACGGCGAGATCAGGTAACCTGTTTGATACTAATGTGCTGTGATATCAGGGATTTAGCCAAGATCTGTGTACACCTGGCTGGAACTGTGCAGCGATGTCCCAGGTGGACCTGCGCAGCGGTGAGCAGTAACCATGTGGGGGGCACTGTGAGGCCAGACATAAATGCATCGCCTTTGCCGCTCCGTGTGAGATTGAGGAGCAGGAGTTTGAGGGAAAGCACAGTGATAAGGCTAAAGATAGTAACAAAGACCACATTAAAGCTCTGCATTTTTTAATTCACTCTTAAAGAGGGGGGTAGCTCCTCTCCATATGCGACTTAATCAACTTGCGGCACAGAGCAAATGGCAGCAGGGCACAAGCACGTCCGCAGGGGACGGACAGCTACACCACCCACAGCAATGATTAAGGCAGTTCATCTGGCCGGCGTCAAACCTCCATCTCCTCCTGTTGTGATTGTTTTATTGAAACAGATATTTCATATATGCATCGATTTATGTTGACAACACATGTGTCTGTATTTAAGTGTCTCACAATCAAGAATCCTCACAGAGGGGATTTTACTGAAGAGGCTACTGATAATCAGAGTGCCAACTACTGTACTAACAAGACCGTAGGGACAGAGTCTGATTTATGCCACATCACAGTAACTGTTCAGACTGCTCACATTCACTGATCGTAGTTATACCTATGAAAAGTAATGCACTACAATTCATACATTACCAACGTAAGGAGGCTGTGATATACGTCATACTATAGGGGCAAAGGAGGAGGTCAGGACATGTAGCATGAAGAAATACAAAAAGCTCTATTTGCAAAGGACTAGTTTACCAGGGGACATCATGTGATTTAGATTATACCCCACATCTGTGTTTTGTGTGGCACATTCGCACAGGATAAGTGTAGTATGTGTTTTACCCCAGTTTACTGACCCTCAGACACAAACAGTACACATCATCACTACAGTGCATATAGTGTTAACTGTTTCTAAGTGTCGGTTAAACAAACAGAACTCATCACCCATCATCTTCGGAGATTTTGCTCTATTGACATATTGGAGTTTGTTTTTTCTGCAAATTGGTCTCTGTGCTGCTCTGTAGCGAGATTGAGCCTCCTGAATTTGCACCCAAATTTCAGTCAAAACTTTCATTTATGATTGCAAATGCAGCCAATGACAAGAGGTCCCAACATGGCAGGGTTAGCTAGGTAGTCCTGTGCAAATAAGGCTGAAGTCCTCATAGGGAGGTGGTTATTTTAAGCATATATACATCAGGTTGTCACGTTACCCTAAGTACATCAATGTTGTTCTTTTAAACCTAACCTAAGCCTGTAGGGGCGCTTATTCATAAGCTATCATACAAACTGGTGTTTGAGGATACGTTGAACTGTTTATGCAGTCTTTATTTGAAAGTATACAGAGTCAAAGTGGAACATGCAATATAGATGTAGGTCCTGTCTGCAGGATGAGATACCAAGCTTGTAAAATGCACATCAACCAGCATGAATGAACCACTGCCTCTTGCTCTGTTCATTCATTTCCTCACCCTCCAGCCCTCTGCCCCTTTTTCCCTCCAGACCTCCATATATTACTCAGCCATACGCCCCACCGTCTTCACGCTGTTGTCCTCTCCCTGTGTGTGACCCGGCTGACTGGCCTGGGCCCCCATACCCTCTCTACCTCCCTTACCCTGGCGTTGAACCCTGCTGTGGGTAGTTCCTCATGGCTGCCCCGCCTGCCCTCCTGTGCATAGCGCTGAGCTGAGCTGGCTAATCTCTGTGAGCTTAATGCCGAGCCAACTGAACATCAGCAGTGAGAACTCCCCTCTCTCCTTCTCTATCTATCTGTTTCTCTCTTTATCTATATCCCATCAAACAAATGCGTGTGCACACACAGTCTTAAGATGTGCTGGTTTAGGTATTTTCCTCTCTCCTGTTCAAAGCATCTTACATAAGCCCCTGGATTGTGAGGACATGAAATCTCCTAGAGAGCATGCCAACGGAGTGCCCGACACAGATATGCCTCAGTAACCTCAATACTCCTCTCCCCGCCTCCTGCAGGGTGTCCGGAGAGAAGCTGGATACTCACACATGTTGGAATCAAAGCTGGGCAACATGAGCCCACAGCACTGAACTCATGTAGAAACAAAAACAAGAACACATCTTGGGCTACATGCTGAGAAGAAGCCCTTCACTCTGCTCCTTACGGATCCTCTCAGATTTACAGCAATACTCTCACTGAGACTCCACCCTCTCCGCCTCTCTCCGGGGAGACTTAAAGAAAGGCTGCTGGACTAAGTTAAACAGACAGTCATGCTGCTGCGGGATGGACGATGTTGTTATGACGGCAGCCTTACTGTTGACCCATCTAATGCCAACAGACATGTGGATATTTGGCCTTAGAGACTGCAAGACAACACTGGTCCCCTCAGCAAAGAATAGTAACAAAACTCGACTGTCAAAAACATAAATATACATATAAATATATATATATATATATATATATAAAAGCTAAGAGTCCTCAGATCTGAATAAAGTTGTATTTAAATGTGGGTCATGCAGTGGAGGTCGTCTGTTTTATCTTTTTGTTCCTCATGGTTTTGTTTAACTATGTCATGTGGCTGATATACTGTACGGATGATATGATGGCATTTACTGTGGTTTTCAACATTCTAAAAATCAATAAAGTACACACAAGTACTTAAACCACTTCGGTTGTAGAGAGAAAGACTCCAGTCTTATATCGGGTTTTGCTTCATGTGTAGGAAGAGCGTGTCAACAATGCTGAAGTATCTATTTTCTCATATTTGCATACCCATACTGTGTGCCAACGGCGGAGAAAAAGATGTGACAAAATTTTTGCTGAGGGCTCTTGCAGATATACATGCAGAGAGAGAAATAGAAGGAGAAGAAGGAGCAGAGAGGAAAATGGGGTTGAGAGGGAGAGGAAGGAAATGTTTCAACTGGGATGATGCATGAACACAACTCCATCCTCTAATTAGCCTCCTCTTTCTCCCCTCCCCTCCCCTCCCCTCCCCTCCCCTCCCCTTCTCCTCTCACTCTTGGTTTCTTTGTTGTGCATCTTCACACTCTCCGTTCATTTTCAGATGTAATTGACATTAAATTCATTCTACTTCTTAATTAAATCCCAGAAAACTGTTAACGAGGGGATGGGTTCAAACATTCAGCTCACAACATCCCTTTAAACAAGATCGATTAAGGCATGGCTGGCGGCAAAGCCAGGCCCTCCACCCCTCCTTTACGCCCCCTTGTTCCCATAAAAGTGCTGCTTGCCTCGGGATAACCTTGCCGGAGATGATGAAAGGGAAGCAAATAAGTCAACATGGAGACAGAAGAATAGAAATCTAATTTGGAAGAAAGCAGGATTGAGGTTAATGTGAAATCTGT